GCCTGATTCGCCAGACTGTGCAGTCGGAAGCTTCCCTGGCAACCAATCCTTTCAGCCTACCTCAGCATGTGACCTACACTTGCAGCCAGTCTGTTACTGAGGATGAGGCATCGCACAGGCACATTGGATCCAGCAGTGAAGAAGAAAGGAAACGGCGTGGGTCTGCATCCATGGTCATCCCTGCACAGAAAGCGATTCGCTGCGGGGATAAAGCTTCGGTCACAATGCAACAGCACACAACAACCATACACCTATGAAGTACTTAATTCTTGAGTGGGTGGGAGCTGAAGATTATGATTTCACCTTTACATTTGCCTCTTTGGTTTAAAGTTACATGGTAATACAAAGCAACCTTAATGCTCAACTAATAAATAACCTAGTCAGTTCAATTTTTAATTTCTTTGCTCTTGTTGATGAATTTGGGAAAATACCTCATACCTAAAGATGTTTAGTCAAAAAATTGTGCAGATGTTAGATGAACTTTATATTTCAAGTTAACTATTAATATTGCTTTTTAGAATATTTTAAATATTTTAATTTTTTTTACTATAGTTTCTAACTCCTCTTCTTACTGATGGCCAGAAATCTTCAGTTTTGAAAGAAAAGTTTTACCTGTAATCTGGTTTGTTTAATGGTTAAAACTAGACAAAATCCTTGCTATGCAATTTATAAGAAAGAAATCTACCAGTGTTTCAGCTTTATTTTTTTTAATGTACTTGTTATTGAGCAGAAATATTTATTCAGACTTTATTGTAATGAAGAATGGATTTTAATATGTGCCTTTTTATTGTACCCATATTACAGGTTCTACAAAACTTGATATGAACTGCCTGTTGTAGAACCAGTTGTAGGAATATTGTCAAACTATCAAAGATCTATATTGTTTGCATTAAAAACAATAACAATCGAAAAGTAATATATTTTCATGGTTTCATCAGTTACAGAAAGTTTCACATTATTGTTATCAACAAGAATCACAGATTAGGGATAGAGTTAGAGTTAGAACAAAGCAAAATTATTAATCCATATCCACTTTGATGTATTAGTTAAACACACTAGTCAACAAGAATTATAATATAAGATGACTTTACTTTGAAAAGTGGACTTAGTGCCAGACAAATTTGACACTGAATAAAAATTTACCCTCAGTATGAGCAATGTTACTAGAAGAAATAAGAAGATAGTTTTAGGTTGATATAGTATATCCATTTAACTTCATAAATGTACAAATGACATGAACTAGGCATCCCTTCTGATAGTGATGTTTAAGAAGACACACTGAATATGGATACAAAGCAAACAGGTTAGAGAAAATAATTTGATAGGCCTTTATATCTGGAGATTCGACCCGTCTTGAATGAGAAGAATAAGTTCCAGAAAACTAAAGCTCACTCATGTTTCAGCACTGCTCATTCTGTATCTCTTGTATTAGCTTCTTGTATGCACCCTTCTATGGTCAAAATAGTTCCTTTGCACTGAGGGTTTGGTTATTGTTTAGGGTGTGAGAAAGCATTCATATCAGAATGCCTCAGGCCTGAAAATTTTACATTTTATGGAGACAACTCTTTTTTCAATGTGAGCTTTGCTTACTTGCTTGCTCACTCTCTTTCACCAAACCCAAATCCAGCCCACTCTAACCTAACAGAACCCAACCAAAACTAATGTAACCAAATTGAGCTCGACCCAACCCAACGTAAACCTAAATCTAACTAAATCCAACCCAACCCAGCTTAGCTTAACCTAAAGCCAACCCAGATCAACCTAACTTAACCCAACTTAAGTGGGCTACATAACTTGATAGAACTAAATGTGAATATCACTAAGATTTTGGGTTGCTGTAATGACTATTAGAATAACCTATGTTCTTAGATCTTTACTTTGTGAGATATAGCAGATTTTCTTGGTATTATTCTCAAAAATGCACAGTGTAACAACTCTTTATATAGCATATACTTGAGGTATCTTAAATGAAACAGGTATAGGTGAAGTTTAAAGAAGGATGTGTGTACATTCTAAACAAACATGCAACTTTAGAATTGCTGATTTTAGCATCTGTGGGATCTTGGAACCAATTTCCTGATTAACGACTGACTACAAAGAAGTATTATAGTTCAAAATGTATAAATAAAGATATAAAAGTCAAAACAAAACAAGAACTGAAAGATGACTGATGATCACAGGAGTCTTATAAAAGGAGCTGGCATGTACTCGGAACCTGAAACAGCAGCATAGAAACCTGATCCTTATATACAAAAGGGCCAGCTTCTTCTTGAATATGATAAAGTGATTGGTTAATGATTAGAGTTTATAAGAAATAAATGTGCTATACATAAAGGGTCATATAGCATTATGATGAAAAGGATGGAAATGAGTTAATGATCAGGATAAGATGTGTTAGATGTCAAAGGTTGTAGAATGCTGGAGAATTGAATGGTAGTGAAAAGGGAATTGAGAGGGAGCAAATGAAATATAGTGGGGACTTGTAAAAGGATATAGGGCAAACAGATCAAATGGAGAGTATGTGTATGGATATCAGCAAATTCTTTGAGTGTAGAGGGAATAGAATTAAGGGATTAGAGGGTGGATAAGGTAGTGGATCATGCTCTTGAGTCATGTTTAGGAAGTTGTGGATGTCTTCAAGAGTTTCTGGAAGGGAGTTCGGTGGGGAGGTCTGAGAAACAAAGGCTTCCTTGTGTGGAGAAGGAATAGATGTCCAAGGAGCAGAGGGAGAGGTGTGTGTAGGAGGGGATGTGGTAGGAGATGTTGGAGTGGAGCATTTAGATGGTCTGGTAGAGTGAGCAAGAGGAGGGGTAGGCACCAGGGAGACTGGAGTATTTGGATTTAGACTGGAAAAGGAATTTGACTGGGGGAGCGAGGGAATAGTGATAGGATGGTTTGGGGTAGAGGGAAGAGATACTGCAACTTCTTGCAAAGATGGGAGGGGAGCAGAGTGAAGCTCCTATAAAATACATAATGGAAGCCATCACAATTGGCACATGTGCTTGACTGAGCAGAGCAATTTGAATGGTCATGACCAGGTTGGGCACATAGAAGACAGCGGGATGTGGAGCAAGTGTTTGGCTGGGTGGCCAAAATGCCAACATTTCTGACATTAACCCATTCGCCACACGTGGCAAGAATAGATGCCATACCCACTTTGAGACACGTTTATTTATTGTATTTACACATAGATGGCTCCACAAGTTCTTAATCACCAAACAGCCAGTTATCAAGAACTACCTATTTCACCTGTTTACCCTTTTCCTTCACTTTAGGAAAAGTTTTTTGTATCATTTCATTGTCTAAAATATTCTAATGACAATTTAATAATCATAACATCAATAACAATAATAACAGTATCGATAGCAATGGTATTATTTTTCCTGCCAATTCAATGAATGGGAGAATCAGGGTCGGTAACTAGGCCTACTGATAGACTCCTTGCCGGCTGAGTACATGTGGAGCCATCTGTAGGTAACAATATTCATCAAAAACTACAGAGGACAGAACATAATTCCATGGCGAATGGGTTAAGAGGGAACATGTTGATATGGTTGGAGAGAGCATGACACTCCACCAATATAAACGTAATGCGGGATGTCAAGTCTACAGAAGCTAATCTTGGCAATATTGGTGTAGGACTTACGTTAGCCACTGGGAGGAATAGTGCAGCACTGCATCATAGTCGATGAGGCATGCAAGCAAGTTGTTTTCACTGTCTGACCAGTCCTTGTTGTAGACAGGACAGTTAGTTTGAAAGACAGAAACAGTTCTGGTACAAGTATTAAGGGAGGAGTGTGGTTGGGCAGAAATAGGTTTGCCAGTGAGATTAGTCAGGGTAGATAGTGCACGAGCTTGAGACTGCAAAAGAAAACTTTGCCTACTTGTTTTTGGAGACATTGTAGGAAGAGTAAAGTACTGTCAGAGTACAGACATGTAGGGGGAACCACAAAGAATTCATCCCACTTGGCTGGGCCAAAAAGTGTACTCAAAATGTTTGTAGAGGTAAAAGCAGTAGAGGGACAAGAGTAGGAAGAAGATGGGGTAGTATGGAGAGAGGTAGTGCTGTTGGAAGGAGGACTATAAAGATGAAGAATAGTAATAAGAGGGATGAGGGTAGACAGTGAAGAAGATAGTGCAGTAGGAGATGGAGTGGTGGATGCTGGGAGAGAGGAAAGGGTGTATTGTATTTACATATAGATGGCTCCACAAGTTTTTAATCACCAAATAGCCAGTTATCAAGAACTACCTATTTCACCTGTTTACCCTTTTCCTTCACTTTAGGAAAGGGTTTTTTGTATCATTTCATTGTCAAAAATATTCTAATGACAATTCAATAAGCATAACATCAAATAACAATAATAATAGTATCGAAAACAATGGTATTAGTTTTCCCACCAGTTCAATGAATGGGAAAATCAGGGTCGGTAACTAGGGTCTACTGATAGACTCCTTGCCGGCTGAGCACATGTGGAGCCATCTGTATGTAACAAAATTCATCAAAAACTACAGGGGACCGAACATAATTCCGTGGCGAATGGGTTAACCCAGGCTATTCATGACTGGCACAAAGCCAGCCTTTCATCCTTTCAGCACAACTCTCACACCTTAGGAAGTGGACAGAAGAAAGGGATGATGAAGAGAAGGAAAAGGAAAGGGGGAGATGAAAAGACCATGTAAAATTAGTTGAGGTGAGGGGTGAGGTCCAAGGTTGGGTGATCCCTTACATTGGGCCCCAGTCTCTGTCTCTGGATGACAAGAATGAGCAAGGGATTAGGGGGATGATAAAGTGAATAAAACTAAAGATTATGAGGCACTTTATAAAAAAATGTGTAAGAAAGAAAGAAAGAAAGAAAGAAAAGAAAAGGAAAAAAAGTGTACCATACATGCTTTGCAAAGACTATTCCATACTTAATATGATTCAGGAATGCCCTTTTCATATTAACACACCAACTGTTATTACCAGGGAAGGTATATAGAAACCAAAATCTTACTAAAGTTTTAAACATTTAATAAAACACTATTACAAGCCTTAAAACTAATGACTAGTTTGTATGACTATCATAATTTTGAAATAATTTACTAGTGAGATTATAGTAATCAATAGTGTGAATACACTTTATAAAAAAAATGTGTCACTGATCTGTCTTTTGTGTTACATCAGGCACACTGAAACAATCACAGATGAGTCACAATACATAGGAAAAATAGGTATCAGTAAGTTTACAAACTGTCCCATGTATACCATGAGATTATAATGAAGAAATGCACTTTACTAGTGTGCCATGTGCACAAATTGAATGAGAAATTCTTCTGAAGAATTACATTTCTCTGCATTTTTTATTTGAATATTAAATATTAACTTCTGAGCACATAAAAAAGTTGCAATTTACAAGTTACAGAAACATGTTACTAAAAGGCTGAATGCAGCAAAATTATCATAGCAGAAGTGTTTTAGCACCTTATTAACACTTAACTCATAAGACTATGAACCATGAACCCTTACAGTGCTTATGTATACCTAAACATACTGCGAAGTAATCTAATTATATCATTGGTTCTTCGAACAATTACAAAAGTAAATGACAGAACTGGATTTTTTTATCTTATAACCTAAAAGTTGAAAGGCACTATAACAAAGCATCTTTGATATGTATCCAACAAAAACTTCTTGTCAGAATATGTTTTCTACTTCATAAAGACTGCCCATAAAAAGCCTTTACAAATATCTCCTGAAAAAGTTCTCTTGTCATAGCCTATGAACCTACTGCCAGTGGTTTGTTGTTAGTATCAACAGGGTACTTAACCCCTTGGTGACAGGTTAAGAAAACTAAAAAAAAAATTCTACCCTCTGGCAATCAATGGCAGCACACCGACTTTGAACATGTGAGTTTGATACATCAGGTTGAATCACCGCCTCACCGCGCTCTGGCATGCTGCCGCTACGTACAGCTGCACACCACATTTCAAGCAGTTTGTTTTCATGCCTATAGGTGTGACCCGTCAGGAAGGGGTTAAGCTAATTTAGAGTGATATTGTAACATTCTCTTGGTTTGTCTTTGAACCTGAGAGTGACCTGGAAGGAATAGGTTACCAATGTTTTTGAAAGGTTGAATGAATTTTTTTTTTTTGTGACCTCCTACCTTTACATTAATATTGAACAATATAAAAATGGAACTACAGAGAGAACACTTTGGATGTGGTGATAATACTCACACACACACACTACTTACATGATACGAGTATGTGTCAGTTTAGTATGGCAGTATGTCAAGTTTTACATCTTAACTGTTCAGCCTGTGTTTTTTGTTTTGTCTGCTGCTGGGATCTCCCATGTAGGTATAAGGTCTGGAGATGATGTTTAATCTACAGTGCATCATGTATACATAAGGTTCAATTTTAGCTCTTGTTTAGATTATCTTATGAAGTTATGGCTACTTAGAAAGAATACTTGTTGTCTATAATGTGTGGCATAAATATGTTAGAAATATACCCAGGACATTTTCTGAGGAACATGCAAGAGTACATCCCTGAGATGTACATGGATGTACTGGCATATGCACTCACACCAGGGTGACTTCCTATCATGTAGACCAGCTCTCCTGTTGGGATGACATCTTTGCATCATGCACAGTACAGTCTGCACTAAATTGTGCATGCTAAACAGTTGTGGGTATGTTTAGCCCTGGCTGCATTTGTAGAGCAGAAACAGCCCCACAAAAATAGGCTTAAAGCCTCATTTTATCTCATTACCTAAAAAATGTTAATGCTGCAACCAAGAGCATTGAGAACAAGGTAATTTTATTTCCTGTGCTTCTAATTTTTCCCTCAAGCAGCAGACTCCACAGACTCCAAATGTACTGTTTGGTATGGCACTGGGGGCTCCCACCGTAAATGGGTTACAAAGATAATAAGTGTTATGAATATGTCCACACAGTGTGGCTATTTAGCACCCAGTAGCATTGACAGCTTTCAGGCTTGATCAGGAAGAAAAAGGAGGTGAAGAAGGATGAAAGGGAGATCACAGACCATTCAAAATTGAAAAACTACTTGACTACCTACTATAAAGTGCAGCTAAATACACAGTATGTCAATAATCTAACCTAGATGGCAAATATGAAACTAGTATCATAGCAGTATCAGGACCTGAGATAGTCTAATACCTATGATGCATGTATCTACCAATCATAATCATGAATTAAAACACTTGTAACTAATGTTGCAAACATTTACCAATGATAAGGCAATGATAAACTACTAAGAGGTGATCACTTATAAATAAGAGCAAAATGTTGAATTCTAGGATAGTGACTTTTAATTGTGAAATGAAAGATTACACAGCAGGTACTTGGACAAGGAAGTTTTTCTATGGCATGTATTTTCTTAACCAAGGCTTAATGCTAAATAAAGACCCGCAAATACTTTTCACCCCTAATATATCTAATAACCCAGGAATAAAAACATAATCCATACTGATTGAATGTTACTGGACAGTCATTAATGTCATCCAAGATCCTCCATTTACATTTTTAGTGCCCACTGTCCTCCTTGTTCCACGTCCAGGTCAATTTTGGTGGAGTTTTTTCTCTTCCCTCTTTCTTCTGGACCCTCTGCTTCTTTGCTGTTGGATGCTGTGGCTTTCTGTGCTTCTCGGTCCATTTTAATCACATCATTATAGGAAGGAGGATCTGTGAAAAGACCAATGCAAATTTATCTAAAAGCACCATTAACTTTCATGAAATGGAATTTAGTTTAGTCATTCATAATGTTATGTCACAATTAACTTTTTATCATCAGCATCTGTTATAAGGTTACTAAAACCATCATCATTACCAAAACATTGGGATTATTAATGTCATTATTAGCATTATTCTTGTAATTTCATCAACATTGCAATTATGGTTATTAACATTATCACATTCATTATGATCCTTTTTTCAATATAATATTACAATTTCTATTATCATCATATTACAACCGCTAAAACTGCTGATTATAATAATTACAGCTATCAACTTAAGTATTACATATTTGCTTAATTAAATCAATCTGGTCATATAGTTCACTTGGCCTGACAGAAAGACGGAAAGAAAGGAAAGAAGTAAACTTACTGTCTGTGTGGATGATTGAGATGCCAGATGGCAGAGGAAGGGGACCTGGAATGCACAAAAAAAAAAAAATAATAATAATAAATCTGTAATTTCTGTACTAAGACCCTTTTCATTACTCATGCAGAATATTAATTGAAAGTGAAAGTGGATACTACTTTAATGCTTTAATTCACATCACTGCAACAAGATTTCCAAGCATGATTTATTATGATTTTCTTCACCCCTGTGATCTGAATGATGTGACCATCACATTTTTAAATGTTACTAATTGTTCTGGATAAAGCAAATCAAAAGACAAATTTAGACATTGGAAAATGGTAAAAAAGCTAAACACACCTATGCTTAAAAAGAGAAAATAATATTGCAAAGGGGAGACACAGAGTCTTATCACTGCATGTAAGTGTTCATGCATGCCCGGCCTACAAGCTGAACACCCACTCATGTAAGCCTAATACCCGTATTTTGGGTCATGTGATTGCCATGAAGCATCTGGACCCAACTTGATATTGCTACAGAGTGGTAGGTGACAGGGATGTGATGCTGTGAGTGCCGCAAAGCCATGGAGGGAGATTTAGATGTGCATTATTTCTACTGGTAAATGATGGTGGAATGTACCATCTGTGAGCCATGCCTAGATGAGTACTGGTTTCAGTAAAGACACCATTTCCATGTGCAGGAACCTATTTCAACTGACTTTTTCTGATAGCACAGGGTGTGTTAAGTTGAATATTGAAAACTATTAAAATATAACACAAATAACACACTCCTACTTATTATTATTGTCATTGCACAGAATTATAGACTATCTGGAGAGAGTATATGGAGTTTGCTCAACAAAATTGGTCCATTACCATCTTGATAACAGCATGAAAAATGACAGATACAGATTTCCAAAAATGGCAAAACAGTAAAAAAAAAAAAAAAAAGAGTTAACAGCATAGCAAAGATGAGGCATGGGGTCTTGATACCATCCATGCGTTCATATGGACTGGGCTGACAAAAAACTTTGTTAACACAGTGTGTTCAGATTTATATCGGGGCTGACCTGTTTTAGTAAGGGCATCGTAAGGAGGAGGAGCATCCCAAGCAGTTTCCCGTGGGTGTTCAGCAGCATTTTCTCTTGGGGGAGGAGGTGGCGGTTCATCCCTCATGTGTGGGTGTAGTGTCCCATTGTACTTGTATCTTAAAGAAATAAAGAAGAAGAAAAGACATTAGTATTATTAACAAACTTGACATGCATTTTATATTTGATCTAGCTTAAACATTTATATTTTCCTTATCTATTTTTCCAATGTAATAAAAGTATGATTATACCTTTATGTATATATACACATTTGCAAATATGCAGAATAGACAATCAACATCACTAACCTCTCTACCTAATAACATATGTCAACATTACCAAACTTACTTTCTGCAGAGCTTAGCAATCTGATGATGCCAAAAGATGAATATAAGTATTGCTCCTATAATTCCAAAAACTGTTGGCCAGACTGGAAAATATTGAGATCCACAGTCACACGATCCATGGCCAGCGTCGTTTTGACTCTCACACAGACTGGAATTTCAAAGTTAATTTAGAATTTCTATTTTAAACAGACAGCAATGAAAAAATAGATATAGAAAATACAAAAAAATTAGATAAAAGGGAAAAGCCCTGATGCTTCTCAATTTTGCATATCTGTGATATATATTATCAGTGCACATAATGATGATGATGATGATGATGATGATGATAATAATAATAATAATAATAATAATAATAATAATAATAATAATAATAATAATAATAATAATAATAATAATAATAATAATAATAATAATAATATTTCTATTCCATTTGTTACAAAGGATATTCTTGGTATGACATGCTGTCTGTTTCATTTTGCTTCTAAATTACCCTGTGTGCAAGGATAGGCCGGGGTTACCATCTACTGGCAACAAGCGATTTGAGTGCAGGTCACCAAGATTGCAAGACAAGATCACTACCAATGCACCACAAAGCAGATTAATTCACTTTAAACAAAAACTTGGCTTTTTAATCACACTCTGCTCCTTTTGTTCCACCTATTGTTTTCTTGGCGTCACTGATAGTTATACATATATGATGCAAAAGCCAATGAAATCATGTTTTGTATCAAAACAAGAGTACTTACGCTTCACACATACATGTGCCACTGGTTGTACACTCTGAATCTGTGTCCATATTCTTCAAGTTATTGTGCCTTCTCAGCCTCTGACAGGAACCTGTTCCAT